AAGGAGGACTTTGAGAGAGAGTTTCTAGGCACCAAAATTCGGCTATAGCATCTCCAAGATCACTAGTGTGTCATTTTTGTGCATAAATGGGTTACATATATAGTGTAGAATCCAAGAGTCACATGTAACCCTAATTCTTACACTTAGGTTATGATCCATATCTCATGTGGGCTAACTCTTCATGGATATTTACACAAACTTAGCCCAACATGGATCAATAGCCCAAACACTATATATATCACTGATTTACATAATTAGTCCCCATTAATTTAATTAGTCTCTTTTGATCACTAAATTAATTCCAAATTAATTCTTGATCAATACTAATTAAATAATATGATTTCACAATTAATATATTATACTTGTAATATATTAATAAATCATAAATAACTTCTTTCTCAAATATCTATCCTATCAGATTGTTCTGGTGAAGGCAACCAAAATGGACCATGCTACTCTCAAGTCGAGTACATACCAATTATATTTATAGGCTTATACATCTAATCCAACAGGGTCATCATGGATAGTGTGACAACTAGAAAATTTTGGGTCAAACAAGGTCTAAGAGGTCTTGTGTATATGTATACCCATAATGTATATCTATGTAACTTTGTTGCAGTAAGAGTTGAAAACCAAGAGGGCATGGTTTGGATAAGTGTATATATAGGAATATATACTTTGAAGATCATATTCGTAATAAACCTTTAAAATTGAACAAGTGATAGCATGGCAAAACAAGTCAAAAGGTGGGAACATAAATCATAAAAATTAAACATTATTTTATAGTTTAAGCCTAGTACCCTACAAAGAATGGGATTTCGGTCCACCTAAGGCCGAAATCACCCTCCCACGAAGCATCAAGACCGAAATCATCTTAACTCAAAACCACTAGGACCGAAAACCCTTTAATGGGTGATACCTAGGCCGAAAACTCCAAGCGTAAGCCCACTAAGGCCGAAAACAACAATTTTGGAGGAATATAGGGCCGAAATCACATAGGGAAACAAGGTGATTTCGGTCTTGGGAAGCAGATAAGAAGTGTTGACTTATTGATTAGATGTTTATCCTCCTTTCCCATGCAAACATTACCCAACGTATATCAATGTAATAACAAATAAATATCCATGCTTTAACCAACAGGTAACTAGGCAAACATCCTATCACACTTCCCTCCTGTTATATATACGAGATTATCACCTATAAACTCCCCACCATTTTTCATTCCTTCATTCTACTCTAAACTCTCTCAAGATTAAGCACATCTTCCAAGTTCAAGTTCTCCAAGATTATTCTTAGATTCTTGGTAAGTATTCCTTCAAATCTAGTGTATTTATAAACTTTTATGTTAGTTTCATTATATTTACCCACATATTATTATGTGTTAAACTCTTAGGATAACATTCTTGCCAAGAAAGTTCAACCACCACCTTCAACTGTTAGGCTTGGAAACCTTCACACCATCTTCTCAAATAACCCACAAAATCACTCAAGGTGAGTTCATACCCCCACATTTTCAAGCTTTTTAATGTTTTTAGGGGGGGGGGATACAAGTTAAAATTGATTTACTACATAAATACTTGTTGTTACTTCTTTATGTTGAAGTATAGACCATTATTTGCTCAAGTTAGGATTATCACTACTTTTATACAACATTTGTGATAAATTAGTGTTGATATGCAAAGTTAACCAAAAACATAACTCATTATATGTTGTAAATATCATCAGGAAAATAAGATTTGTAAAGCTACAAGGTTTTGGAAACTTTTTACTAAAAGATAGCTTTTCTAGCAAAAATGGTTACAATATAGTTATTTACTATTTTGGTGGGTTACAACCCAAAGACATCATATTTTGATTACATATTTTGACCCTAGACAAGATTACAACTTTACATTTATATAAAAGATTATATAAATAGTCTCAACAAACATATAAGATAAACTATAATCGATATAGTTTGGGAGTCATAAAACCACACTTTCATTTTAGGAGAACCATATAATTATTCAAAGGTATAATTATTTCATTTTACAGGAAAAAGGAGTCATAGTTCATGTAAATCTGTTGATGATCTTGTGAGACATTCGCTTCACTGTACCTACCTAGTGTACACCTTAAGTCCTGCATTATAACCAGAGTCTCCTTGAGGGAGAGCGAGATAGTTGTGTATAGATCTATATGGGATTGACAACCCCGCACCTCAGCTGTTAGCTACAGTTAGACCGGCAAGTCTAGGGTGACAAATGTATACCAGCTCCGACGCCTGAAGAACGTCGTTCAGGCATATCAATCATATTAGCATGGTTATAATAACTCGCATAGGGATTAACAAAACGACTTGGTTTACGGAGTAACTTACACTTCATTAGTTTTATAAAAAGAAATGAAACTACATACTATTTTCAGTACAACATTACTTACATTTTGGACTTATGGTTGAAGACTACAATTCATATTCAAGAAAATATTGGATTTTATGGAAACATACATTATCATTTTACAAGGAAAAGATACAAAGGAAATACATACATTTACAGTTCATATTAAAGAAAATATCAGATTTTCTAGAAGTATACAAAATCATTTTACACGAAAACATTACAAATCCTTCTCATACAAAATGCTTATGAACTCACCAACTTAATTGTTGACACTTTTCAAAATCACTTGTATTCTCAGTAAATCAGTAAACAGGTATTCAAATCATTTTGAGGGTAGGCGTCGTTGTTCCATGTTTTCTACTTTTCAGTTATTTGTATTCTACTTTTGAACAAACAAAGTTTTATAAACAATGTAATACTTGAAATCTCAATGTATGAATGTGTCTGCTGCTATGTTTCATTTATATTCAATTGTTATGATACTGTGAAATGACGTCATCCACCCTCAGACGTTTCCCGCGTTCCGGTTCGGGAGTGTGACAGATAGATTGACGAAGAGTGCCCATTTTATTCTGATCTCCGAGAGTATTTCTGCTGAGAAATTGGCAGATATATATGTGCGAGAGGCCGTGGTCAGGCACGGAGTGCCAGTATCGGTGGTCTCGGACTGTGATGTTCGATTTACATCCAGGTTTTGGAGGAAGTTCCACGAAGAGTTGGGAACTCAATTACACTTTAGCACTGCGTACCACTCTCATACAGACGGCCAAAGCGAGCGGACGATCTAGACGCTCGAGGATATGCTACGGGCATGTGTGCTGGATTTGGAGGGAGTTGGGATACATACCTCCCACTAGCAGAGTTTTCATATAACAATAGTTTTCATGCTAGTATCGACCGACCCCCGTTTGAAATGTTGTATGGTTGGAGGTGTAGGACCCCTGTTTGTTAGGGTGAGGTTGGGCACCGAGTCATGGGAAGAACCGAGGTGGTGCTTAAGACTACCGAGCTGATCCAGCAAGTGCGCGACAGGCTGCGAGTGGTGCAGAGCCGTCAGAACAGTTATGCTGATAGGCCTCGCTCGGATCTCGAATTCCAGGTGGGAGATTTCGTTTTGCAGAAAGTGTCACCATGAAAGGGTATCATTAGGTTTCGAAAGAGGGGCAAGTTAGGGCCTCGATATATTGGTCCGTTCAGGATTTCTGCTCGGGTGGGCAAGGTGGCTTACCATTTGGATCTGTCGGACGAGCTTAGCCAGATTCACAACACCTTCCATGTGTCTCAGCTTCGGAAGTGTGTTACAGACGAGGCTGCGGTCATTTCTTTGGATGACATTCAGGTGGACGAGAGCCTGAACTACATTGAGAGGCCCGTTGCGATCTTGGATAGGGAAAATAAGGTTCTTCGTAATAAGGAGGTGAAGCTAGTGAAGGTGCAATGGCAGCACCGGAAGGGCTCGGAAGGACATGGGAGCCGGAGGAGGAGATGCGAGAGTATTAACCAGATTTTTTTGCGTCAACAGACTTCGAGGACGAAGTCTAGTTTAAGTGGGGGAGATTTGTAACACTTGATTCAGGTATCAATTATTTCTTAAAACTGTAGGGTTTTGGACTGGAACTCGACGAATTAGGGAGCTCCAACTCGTCGTGTAGGAATCATTTTGGACGCGGGGTTAATGGTCTACTCGATGAGTTGGAAGGCCCCTACTCGACGAGTAGAAGATGGAAAGGAAAATCCTAATTTTTAGGGTTTGCACCCTATTTAAAGACCTTAAGCCTTATTGTTAGCCTCCCTTACCGCCCCTTTGTCCAGAGAAACCCTAGTTCGTGCTTTTCCTACCATTTTGAGTGTGTAAGAGCTTGAGGAGTGCCTTTGTGGTGTTTATGTGAAGAAGCTTGAAGTGATTGGTGCATAGTTGAAGGGAGAGGCTGTAGATCCGGTGTTTACTTTGTTGTGGCAACCATTCTAAGGTATAAAGTCGATACCTTGGCCTTTTATTACTTAGATCTTCTCCTATGAAAGTTTATGGCCATTATTAGCCTAGTTTGGGACCATTGTTGGATTTGAGCATGTTATGAAGATATGGCCTCAGATCTGGACATCTCAGGGCCTTTGTAGACTTAAAGTTGCCAACTTTATCAAGTTTTGGCTCTCCTTTATGCTCTAAGTCCCTTGATAAGCCTTGTTTGAGTGTTTTATCCCTTTGATGCCTTGCATGGATGTAGAGTTAGAAACTTTAAGTGGTATATTAACCCTAGGGGCTAGATCTGTAGTTTGGGGCTTTAGATTCGAGTGGAAGGGGCTGAATATGTTAAGACAGGGAAAACTCGACGAGTTGCCCTGACAACTCGAAGAGGTGGATAGGGTTTTCCCGTCTTCTGGATACAAAGTGAACTCGATGAGTTGATAAGATAACTCGGTGACTTGGTTAGGGTTTTTCCCGATTTGCTGAACACTGAAGGAACTCGACGAGTTGCTAGATGCACTCGACGAGTTGGGTCAACATGGATAGCTGACCTTGACTGTTGACCTTGACTTTGACCATGGTTGACCAAGTTTGACTTTAAGGGTATTTTTGGTATTTCGGGATTTTGACAAAGTTAGTCACATGGTGGTTGTAGGCAGTTGAGTTGGAGCTGTGAAGTGGGATTGATCTTATCGGTTCAACATTTCTTGAGAGTCGAGTCTTCTCACCACACCAATGGGTCTAAGGCACCAAGTCCGACACAGTATACGATATGTGGATTGTTAGTTGATTATGTGATATGTTGGTATGAAATTTGTATGGAAGACCCTAGGGGGTTCCCGTGGCAGTAGATTGAGACCATGTGGAGGTTCCCATGACATTTGGTATAAGACCTTGGAGGGTTTCCATGGCATCCTAGTATGTTTGCATGTTTAGCTTGTATGATATTTCTTGGGTTAGCTAAGACTATGTGGGGTTCCCATGGTAGATAGTGAAGACCATGCGGGGGTTCCCATGGCAGTTAGTAAAGACCATATGGGGGTTCCCATGGCACTTAGTAAACACCATGTGGCGGTTCCCATGACAGTTAGTGAAGACCATGTGGGGGTTCCCATGGCAGGTAGTAAGACCACGTGGGGGTTCCAGTGGCACTCGGTATAAGACCTTGGAGGGTTTCCATGACATCCTTATATGTTTGTATACATGGCTTATGTGGTTTGTGTAGCTAATATAGCTAATATGAATTATGTGATTATGTGGATTGTGTGGGGTATGCTCTGGGGAACTTACTAAGCATTAGCTTACAATTTGTTGGTTGTTTCAGGTACTTCAGAGCCTAAGGGCAAGGGCCCGGCTTGATGGCGCGGCATGCACTCTCCGACGATTTTATTTGGAGACACTCTGATATTATGAATAAAATATTTGATGTTGTGGATTTGAAAACAATTGTTATTGGTATCTCATGTTTATTGGAAATGATTTTGTTATTTAAAATGAAAAATTTTATTGGAAAATTGGGTCGTTACATTATTAGTGAAATTTGTGAATAAATGTATGACATAAGGTGTTTATACATATGTTGGATGACACAGTTATATAGAGTTTTAATTTATCATGAAATATACTATACATATTCCATGTTTAGTTACTTGTATTCTTGGCCTGATAATAAGGATTAATAAATTTCCTGCCACTTACATAAAACTTGATAATTCATCTCCCTCTTTTAACATTGAAGTAGGGCAAAGGGAGTTGAATTGGGGCACCGTGTATGGTCCTTGCAATAAGCTCTTGCTGACAACTTTATATGCTGCTTCCGTTAAGTGTAATCCGTCCCAATTAGCATATGTATATGGTTTAGAACAGACAGATGCTGTTGGGTTTGCACATAGTATTGAATCGTTATAGTTAAATGTCCCTCCACCTCCACAACATGCTTTTAGAGCTCCATTTTCAAATCCTGTAACGTATCAAAATATTGTTAGCATTAGTCAAGACATGTAAGCCATTTTATCCACATGCGTTAATATTGTGATGTTATTTCTCCCTTTATAATAGAGATATGCATGTGATGTACCATATTTTTCCGGAGAACGAAAAAATTGCATGGCTGCATTGTAATAGTCAGCATAGATGATATTGGCATCAGGATGAAGTTCTTGAATTTGGTTTAATTTTGTCACTAGAAGTTCATTGTGGTACTCGGCAAACTTGTTAAATTGTATAAGGCAACCAGTTAAATTATCATATTCTGTAGAATCAAAGCTATTGTACAATGTTAAATATGCTGCAGAGCATCCAATTGGTAGGTTTCCTGGTACAAGTACTGTCTTGGCCCCCATCTCAACAAGTTCCTGTTTTTCCACTTTAAGTATGAAGTTAAGCCACTCTTATGATAATTCTCGCGGTTGTTTATACAAAAAAATCAAGGGAAAACAAAAATGTTCATCTTGTGTGTATTCTTACATTAATCGCTAAGATAATGGTCTGGACAACAAATGGAACATATGTTCCAACCTCATCGATGGATTTCCCAGCAAGTAAGGCGTGGTTATAATCGTTTCCTCCAATCTCACCCATGAGAAATAAGGAATGTTCGATTAGGTGACTGCAATCTGCATAATTGAGAGAAGATTAAATATGAGATCGAATTCTTAATAATAATTTCACTGATACAGATGTATTATTATTATTATTATTATGTTTTATATTTTTTCTGTGTTTTGTTGTATAATTAACAATTATACTACTTTTTATAATTAACATTATATCTTGTCCAAGATAAATAATTTTCTTCACATTAGTTTAAACTCTTTTATTTATTATTTTTCACAAAATAATGTTAGATAATTCTCAACAGCTACATGATATTTTTTTCCAATTTATTTTTAACAAAAAAAATAATATATATGCAAAAATATATAAATTTTATTAAACGTAATCATTTTCTTAAATAAAAACATAAACATAATTTTGTTAGTTAAAAGTGATATTGAATAACATAATTCATAATATATAGTATTCATACTTATTCATTTTAATACCGCGATAAAAAGACTATTCTTTTGTTTTATTTTTATGACAAGTGAATATAAAACTCTTCATCATCTATTTACCTTATTAATTTAAATATAGTGTTAATTTTAATGGCTATTTAACTACTACCTGTTTAATACAAATTTTATTTCATATTAAAATTAACAAAATAGTAGTATATCATATGAATTTAAAAAATAATAAACAATATATAGATACATAGATTTTTATTAAACATCATAAAATTATATAAAATTTTTGTTTACAAAGATACTATTGTTATAAAATAAATAACCATATCTGAAATTTATTTTAATCATTCATAGTTATTTTATTAACATTAAAATTATGTAAGAAGATAACAATGAACTGATTCGGGCATTTTTTTTTCTTTTCTCCGTGAGTTTTTTCTTTGTTTTAATTATTTAGTCTTTAAAAATTAAAACAAATTCCAAATGTTAAGAGGTAGCATCTTAGTTATTAATAGAGTTATATTAATTAAATTAAAATTTTATTTAATCAAATATTACAAAAAAAAAAGTTATGTATATCTTGAAAATAGTGGTCGATATTTGAAAAGAGCATCATCATAAAAAAAAATCAAATGAATAGTGTTATAAGCTTTAACAAATTTAAATTTAAATTGAATAAAATTTTTATACTATTTTATTCATGTGGAATCCGACATGAATGACAATTAATTTCATATATCAAGATAAATATTTATTTTGAATTATATTAATTTTATCTTATCTTGAGTAGTTATAAAAATTATTATTTTAAAGTTATTGATAATGACTTGATCATTTTAACAGTATATATTTGTGAATATTTTAACTACAAAATATTAGTCACTGGGATATTAAAGATGTCTTGCTACATACCGCTTATTACCTATGATAACAAACAAAGTTAGTTTTTGTTACAATTGTGATGAAAAACCCAAGACAAACATTTATATGCATTAACCTGTTGTTAGATGCTTAAAAATAAAAATATATGTATAGTTGATTAGTTATGTTTTTTTTTGCATAAGTGATTAATTAAGGTTGGTTGATTATTGTGTGTGGGGAATAAAAAATTTATGATATGGTAAGTATATATGAATATTCGTGGTTACACGAAGAAAATATTAAAAGACATCAAATAAATAATATTTATAAATTGACAAATAGCATTATTTAATTTAATCAAATAAATGTTTAAATCAAAGAGTTTATTTAATATCTATTAAGCAAGCAAAATAAATATAAGTTTTTATTTACTAAACTAAATAAATTGATTATTTATTATTTGTTTAAATAATTATGTTCACTGAAATAAATAATCCAAAGGATTTGGTCGAGTTCTTTCAAGCACAAAGAAGAACAAGGTGATATTGCTTGTAGTTTGAAGAAGGTCTAACACTCGTTTATGTTTTCAGTTCGTATGGATACCAATGGAGGAGATCATATATTTGATCTCAAGTTTCTACATCAAGGGCTTCAATTTATATAAGGTATTTTTATTAATTAAATACAATATGGCTGATGCTATGTTTAATTTATTAGATTTAATGTAATCGTAGTTTAATCACTAGAGCATCCATCCATAAAGGAGAGAGTACTCTAGACAATATCTAGATTCCTCATTCTTTTGGGAATCAATTTAATTAATTTCGTTTTAGTCTTCCACTCCATATTGTTTTGCTTGTCAATTAGTTTTGAACCCTTTCAATTCTAGCATTTGCGATCGTGGTGGGTACAAAGTGGATAACAGGTTCAAAAAAACAATAATGGAAACGGGAGCCAATTCCAAACCATATGAAACCACTCGTACACACATCGGTATATAGTCAGCTAGATAGGTATGTATATATGTATATATTTACCGATATTAGTTTTAGAAAGGCTTATTAGGGGAAGTCTTGTAAACTAATGAACAAAATATTGCTATAGTTTCATTATTGAATAATAAAAAAATACAAATACAAAAAAATGGAAAGACA